ATCATTTTTGATACTATTAGTATTACTACTACTACTACTACTACTACTATTACTATTATTGCCATTAGCATTATTACAATTATTGTTATTCTTATTGTCATTGTTATATTCATTATTGTTATTATTCATTTTATTATTATTATTATTAGTGGTATTAATGTCAGTAATAGCAATAGTTTTAGTAGTAATGTCATTATTGTTATTATTATTGATGTTGGTAGTAGGAGTGGTATGTCCATGATGATGATTATCATTACTATAGTTATCATTATTATTGTTGTTATTATTATTATCATAATTATTGTTATTATTATCATTATTATTATTATCATATTTGTTATTATTATCATAATTATTGTTATTATTATCATTTCTACTATTATCATTATCATGATTATTTTCATTAACGTTATTACCATTCTCAGTGATCCAATCTTGACCTGCTTTTATTTTTCTCTCCCCAGACTCCCTTACGAATGTCTGTCTCAGCTGCGAACAGCCTGCAGAAGGTGAGCTCCGGATATCCCTTTGGTCGTTGACTTGTCTGCCTTTGCAACAGATGCTTATTTCCTTTTCGCTGATCTATTGTTACTGTCACTTATTGTAGGTTGTGTTATTCTATTCATTTGTTTATTATTATGATTATTATTTTAGATATGTAGATCCTATATGTATTCTTCCTGTCATAAAATTGTTGTAATATTCAGCATCCTTAGAATGGATTGAGGTAGATGAATGGTCTCTTTTTGTTGTGACTTTGCTGCGCTTTTAGTCTGATAACATGTACCTTTTCAGTATACCGGGGAACGGAAGGCACGCAATGCAAATAGTAAAGATAATTGAAATTAAGACAGTGCAGCCAGACCCGAGAAGGAAGCGTTCTTGGTATAGGAATGTATTCTTTCCGATCACGATTTGTTCATGTGTTCTCTTATGCCTGTTTCCAGCTCCTCCCGACGTCGCTACCACAGAACCCACGCCGGGGGGTGACAGCGTGTGGCTCCCCGTGGCTGTGGCGCTGCTCGTCCTCCTGGCTATCGTGGCCTTGGTGTCCGTGGCGGTCTGCTTCAGGTTGAGAAGGAGAGCCTCGTCGCAGGAGCCCGAAGCCCTTCGGCAGTCCAGCGCGTGTGCTCAGCCCGCCCTTTCCTCGTCGCCCTCGCCCTCTCTGGCCGAGGGCAAGTCGCCCCTCGGCCAGAGGTACTCGACGCTCCTCGCTTCGGACGCCGTTGCCGTTCCGAACGGGCGTTCCAAGGGCGGAGGCGGAGGTCACCGGAGCCAAGCCTCGCGGGACCTGAGCGGACTTCCTGACCTGGCTCCTCCTCCTCTCCCCTCCACCTCGCCCCCCTCCCTGCCCCACCACCCCGACGGTGCTTCACCCCCAACGGAAGCCGCCGACGTCAGGAGGACTTTAGAGTGGCAGGACAACGCCTGCCACGGGGACGCGAAGGACCCGCAGGAGGCCCCCTGGTCGGGCGCCGACGACGGGGAAGGCGACTACGCCGACCCGAAGGAGCTGGAGACGCCGCCGTGGCTCCGCATCCAGGGCGCCGCCGACGACGAGGACCACGACTACGCCGACCCCAGAGAGCTGGAAAAGCCTGCGTGGCTCCTCGCCCAGGACGACGACGAGGACCACGACTACGACTACATCGACAGGGACGCCCTCAGGATCCTGCTGGGCAAAGACAAGGAGGAGGCGCAGCGGAGGAGCCTGGCCGCAGAGGAGGGGCGGCTCTCGAGTCACGACTCCGAGAACTCGCTCTACGAGGAGATGAAGGCCCTCGAGGCGGCCAGGGAGACGAGCGCGCTGGAGGAACGGAGGCGGAGAGAGCGGCAACAAAGAGAGGAACAAGAACAACAAAAACAAGAAATACAGGAAGGTAAACAAGAACAACAAGGAGATGAAGAAGAGAAACGACAACAAAAGACAGTGGAAGAACAAGAACAGAACGAACAAATGAAAGATTCCGAGCAGGAAATTTTGGAGAGTGTGAAACTTTAGAGACAAAGTCGTAAATGTATGTTTACATATATATATATATATAATATATATATATATATATATATATATATATATATATATATATATATATATATATACTGCATATTTATATGTAGGTATGTACGTGTATGTGATTCTATATGACTCCGTATCCTATATGTTATTGGAAGACCATATACTCTAACAGTCTGAAGTTCCGTCATTTCGTTAATGTCCTTATGCCAGTCGCTGCAATATATGTAAGATATATCGTAACATACCATACATTCCGCCGACTGTGACGCAATACATAGACGGATAGGTGGCCTTCCCTTGCCCAGTTGGCGCCGTTTCCCGAGGCCCTCTTGTATCTCGCCCCTTCGTTGATGTCCGCGTGAATTTTGATATTTGTGTTGCTTTGTTGTATATATGTGTACATGTGTGTTTGTTTTATTATATCGGAAGATTATACGTGATGAAAGGTGTTTAAGGTTTAAGGTTTAAAAGCTGTGAAATTAT